TCTCCTGTTTTTTCCTTCAACATTTGGAAAACTTCATTTTTGAAGCCAAAAGTGCCGTCTATGCACCTGATATACCTACATAATTGATATATTTGTTAATACATTTCGTATGGAAAATATCTCCCAAAGAATCAAAAGTGTGACTTGTTATTGAAACTTTTTAACTTTTTGCAGAATTATTATACATTGACTTAAAAATTATACAAAATCCTATATCAGATCTATCAAATTGAGAAATTATTCAATTCCAATAATGGAAAAATTTGCAACACAAAGAAGTACACAAAATACGGCCTAAGCTGTAACTACTTAATCATTTGAGATCGGATTTTGAAATTTGTTGGGTAGTAATTGCCTTTTATTGAAAAATATATATTTTATCACTTCTGCTTCAACCAGAAGCAACCCCAACTTTTGATTTTCAGAAAGTACAACCTGTATATTCTGATATTTTCAGAATATCAGAAAAATTTCCTTGTTAAAGTATGTGAAATGATCCCTGAATCCAAAAATAAAAGAATAAACAGGATATCCTCTATTTGGAAACCAAAAGTTAGGGTTATTTCCGGTTCAACCTCTTTGCTTTATTTCTTTTCAGAAGTATGCTCTTCAGTTTGTTATCTGCTCTATTTTTCAAGAAATACTTATAACTCCAACAAGGTTTTCAGAGTGATTTTCTTTCACCAGGGAAAATATTACAAGAATTACTTTTACCATCACACACTCTGGAGTTTTCCATTTGTTGAACCAGTTTTACCAAATCACCAATGGTTTCTATTGTATCAGTAACATGCATTGATTTATCATGAACTTGTGCACATATTTTTCCTGCTGTAACTAGCAGAAGACGTTCAATAGCCACAGTGTCTCCTATTAACAGTTTGGAGAATATCATTGCATTCTCTGTTTTATATGAATACCCAAGGTAGGGGGGAGAGGAAGGGAATACACATATGTTTTCATGAGTGCACAAATGACACCAAAGACACTGTTGATGCCTTCATTTTTCTCTGCAGGTTCAGGATCAGATTCAGGGTTGGGCTCAGGTTCTGGTAAAAAAAAAGTAGATTCTTCAGTGAAATAATGACTAGTAGATGGTTTACACAATCTGGAAAATAAGAATGGGATGCATTCAAAGTCAAACAATATTTTGTATGTCACTCCTTTTTATTAATGCAAATGTTGAAATTGAAACTTTTTTTAAAAAATTGTCTGTTAACATAAAAATGTAACCATATGAAATTTGGTACCTACCTATAGATATTTAACAAACTTTTTGATGCTAACATATTCTACATAATTATATATCATTACCTATTAAAATTTAAAATATTGTGTGTTTTTATTTCCCTTGAAAATACACTGTGTCCAAGATGAGGAGTCTATATCATGGGGATAATTTTTATTTAAAGAGATATAGGAAAACATAAGACACTTTCTCCTTGCCACTTTTTAAGCTCTTCAAAACAACAATGATAGATTTTCCATAGGATGTTTTGTTCCAGAGAAACCATCATCAATTCACCCCATGATAGACATCCTTATCTTGGACACACTGTATACAAACAGGACATTCTGTCTGACCAGTTTCATGAAAAAAAGTATTTTCTCTTCAAATGACACTAAAAGTGGAAAACAAGCAGAAAAGGTGTACTTTTACTGCCTAGGCAGAAAAAGTTTGTTGCTTATTTGCAACATTCTAAGTAATATAAATCAAATTGGTAATCAAAATTGACAATTACTTTGGGTGAACAAAAAATGATGGATTATTTGGACTTTGCATGACATTGAAGAATTTGGAGAAAAAATTATATGTTTCACATGGCAGAAAAGCAGATGTAATGCCTTGACTGGTTTCCTAGCCTCAGTTATGCCTATAGGCTATGAAACGCCAGCCAGTGAAACAAATAACTATATTATTCATTCATTAGAAACAAACTGACAGGAATAATACCTAACTGTGTTTTTCTGTCATTACAAACCAATTTAAAGATTATAATGGAGTAGGCACTTTAATTGACCCTAGAGGTAGGTGATTCACCATAGTTTCCCCACTGTCTTAGTTATTTATGAAATTCAACTACTCCCATGGATATAGCCTGGGATTCTAGGATATATAGCTTATTTATTTTGAAGAGGAGCATAACATAATGATACAATTTTGCTGGAAAATTACTCTATACTTGCAGTTTCAACTATGAGTCATTATATATAATTTTATGAATATTCAAAAAATAGCTGAAATTATTATGAAGCATTAAAAATATAAAGGTCACTTCTTTCTTTTTGAAATGCTGATAGAAAGTTTCCAATTCATAAGACAACTAAAGCACATAATTATAAACTATATTAGAAGCAAGGAAAAAATAACAAATAAATGGTACACATCTGAAAAAAATTGAAGGAGGTGTAGATGGTGAGTATCTTCACTTATAGTTTGTTTTATTGGGTATTTGAAACTCTAGTTTTCCTATATTCTCAAAGGTTTTGATAATTGCTATATAAACATTGACTATGTTCAATAATATTTTAGAAATTAATGACCTCAGTTATAATGTTAATATAGTGTTTGTGGAGGTGTATTATTGATTAGATCTGTATGAATCCTAGAACTATATGTACCTAAGTACCTACCTACCAACTAGATGATCAATAAAAGTCATAATATGTACAATGAAACTACTGAGTATCAAACATTGATCATATTGTACTAATACTGCTTATCTGGCTCATAGTACCATATACATATAATAATAGTTATTATTAGAGCAGGAATAGCTTTAGTTACTATAAGTAATTGATACAAAATAGGTATAATTACTGTTTTCATGGCAGTGCATGCTCCATGTCTCAGCCTAAGTGCACCTGAACAATCTTCTGAAAAATGGTCAGAACAGACAAAACCATAATATAGAAGTATTTACCAGCAGCACGAATCCATTCTTTTCTCACATTGTCATCCTAAGAATACAATAATGTTCTCATGACAAATTCCCACAGTAGATTCTGAATTCATATGAAATGAACCCAACTGAAGTGATGAGAATATAAGTAATGATTAAAATGCAAAAATGCATGGACTATCTGATGAGAAGAAGTGGAATTCAATTGATAATAGGTATTTATTTGAAGGCTGATATGTTAGATCGAAGTGATAGACATTCCGATCATTCATCCACAAACGGTGGTTTGTTGGATTTACAAATCCTGCTTTAAACGTATCTATGTGGGAAAAATTACCTTCGGAATTGCAAAAAGGCGACGAGAAACAGTTTTTATTTGTCCACACACTATACAGTATTTCATTTTCCTGGTCTATCACAAATCACAACAATTCAAAACACAACAAAACTTCCATTTATAAACACTCTGATAACAAACTTATTGAAAAACTAAAAAGAATCACCAAACACATCAAACAGCACTACAAAACTTCCGAACTTTCGAGCACAGTTTTGGAGGAATGAAACTTTGACTAACCGAAAACTGGGAATATTCATGGCGCCAAAATCGAATATTAAATTTTGACACATATGACAATCAATGTCAACAAGGCAAAATTCCTATGTTACCGACCCTTATTGGTTGTGTTCTATGCTAAAATCGATCGACACATTTGTTCCAGAAACAATTGAAGAGTTGCTACACCAGTCAATTATAGCCACCTTAATTACCAGGTATATTTGGTATATTAGAGCTGAACTCAAGTGAATCCAGTAATTTTAAATTGACAAATAAACCAATTTGAACTCTTTTTTGGACTCATTCACTTTTCTCACAGCATTCATGATGAATGAATCAACATACATGTCAATAAATAAATGCTCCAGGTATTGTATTTTAGTGGGAAATGTGCAAGACAGTTATAATTATGTACTCTTATGTTAAATGTGTATGCTTGTCCCCCCATCAGCTGTTCAATGGCCGACAATTTTACGTCATATGACGTCATTGACATTGCTCTATTGCTCGCAGCGTTCTGATGATGACAATAAACAATAACACGCAGAAACGCCGATGCCCTTCGCGCATACCAACTAGGAAACGGAGTGCTCCAGTATGCACTCCAATCCCTATGCCGTTAGAGCGACCTGTCGCGCTAGCTGTATAGGGAACGTAAATATGCACGGTAGGCACCCTTAAAAAGATTATACAAACACTAGGTAGTCAACGCCAGAGTCACTGGATGGTCTTAGTTAGAGTCACTGGATGGTATTAGTAAGATAAGAGTTCGGACACAGAAAATGACAACTATTAGTGTTTTTGAATGTTTAGATTCATCAAGTCACACAACTTGCATTGTGACAACAGCATCGTAGTCGTTCCGCGCTTTTTCATTCAAAATTGTTCATATTTTTCATGGAAAAGTTTCAGTTCTGAAGAATTAAATTTTGTCGCACTTCTCACGAAAGCACCCCCATATCTTACGTAATTGACTTTATATTTGGACTTTCCCTTCCTCCTGCAAAATTTCAGAACCCTACCTCAATAATTACGGGGGTGCTTCCGTAAAAAATGCGACAAAATTTTATTTTTCAGAACTGAAAAATATCCAGGAAAAATATGAATAGTTACAGAATTGGGCGTCCTGATTCCGAATCCGAAGTGATTTTCAACCTATTTTGACTCCTAATATCATTTTCCGGAAATTGGGTGGTTTTATGGCTGTTGGCGAGCAGTGTATAACACTGAAGATGACCCCACATGGTGATAGAGTGCATTTTTGGTATATATCTCTCTCCAGCAAATTTCAGGATCCTTACCGAACGATTATGTAAGATTCAGGGGTGTTTCCATTAAAAATGGGTCACACTGTATATATAGCACGACCATGGAGATTGATTCATATGTTTGGTTGATATTTTGTCATTTTTATGATAACAAATCTTCATGATCACCCTATATATCAATATCAATTCAATTGTTCAGAAGCAGTTGAATCATTGATATATAATTTAATGGGAGTAGATAGTCGATTTATTATTATTATTATTACTTACTTGATGGGCCTCCTGGGCACCTCGGGCACCGACGATTTCTTGCCAAGTTCCAACTTGGATCTGGTGCTGCCGACGTGGTTGCTGCCCAGCCCGTTCGAAGACCCGTTGTGATTGGCTACGGCGTTGGTGGACGAATGGACGATCGAATGGTGAGACGGAGCGAGGATGGGCTTCGAATTGGCTGCGGAAGAGGAAAAGGGTGTTTGATTTCGTCAACTATGGCCAAAATGGATAATTTTCTCCACTATAGACAAAATGGATAATGGTAAATACGCGACGGTGTTTCAGGCAGAAGTTATTGCAATACATCATTGCGTGAAAGAATTGATAAGGCAAGAGTTTTGAAGGCAAAACCATTGCAATCTATTCAGATAGCCAGGCGGCCATCTATGCAAGTTAACTCAAAACTATTATGGGACTGCATAGAAACCCTAAATGAACTGGGCAGTCAGAACAGACTGACTCTAGCATGGGTACCAGCACATACAGGGTACGAGGGCAATGAAGAGGCACGCTCACTTGCCCGAGCAGGAGAAAACAAAGCTCTGAATGGCCCAGAACCCTTCTGTGGTATTGCGGAAGCTATACAAAAGACTAGTATCAAATCATGTATGCAAACCAAATCTCAAGAATGGTGGAACAACTCGTCAGGTATGAGACAGGCAAAAGAGTTTATTAAAAAACCATCGCCAACATTCACAGAATACCTACTGAGCCAGATGAAACGAAGTTCAACTAGAATACTAGTGGGACTTCTCACAGGGCATTGTAGGCTCAACAAACACATGAGTACGATAGGTCTGACTGAAGAACTGTTGTGCAGGTTCTGTCAGGAAGAAGCACACATATTTTGCCACTGTGAGGGCTTGTCAAAACTAAGGTTCCTTACGCCGGGTGAGGAAAAACCAGAAGCCCAAAGGTACACAGGGGATCTGAAAGCTTGCCTATGGAGTCTCATAGAGAAGGCGGGGCTAGCCGAAGAACTCTAATCGATTTTGAGGGCAGACACAATAGATCTGAAAAGGTCGCGGTGTGGAGGCAGATAGCCCGAAGGCCCCATTCTAAATCTAATCTAATCTAATCCTATATTGAGGTTTTTATCTAATTGTGAGGGTGACTTTATAAAAACTTTTAGCATTCAAGATTTAACATATAAACATTTAAGACTTAAGAGTCTAAAGTGGAGACAGTTAAAAAAAATCAGGATTCTAGGGCGATACATGTCTTCATTACTGACATCTAGTTTCTGATACAGAACCAGATTTTCGAAGTTTAGTAAGTTAGAAACTGGTTGGAAATCAATATTTCATGTTTTGATGTCATTCAATTAATTTATATTTATATCCCCAAAATGATACCCACATCCATTATATCTCCATCAATTTGAAAATAATCACTATTCCTTGCCTAACAGAATTAACCGGCTTACTCCTTGGATCTTTTGCCAAATATGGAGGCAACAGAGCGACATTCTAGTGTATTTTCGATGAACGGTTCAGTATCAATCAGAAGTAAAGAAATATTCAGGAATATTTTGAATTATTTTTGAATGGCGGGAAATTGAGATGTCACTCTTGGATGCGCACTCCTTATTCCATTTATGATCATTTATCAGCACTTCTCAAGTTGGAAGTTGGTCATCTTCTCAAATCTCAAATGTTAAATCGTAAATCTTAAATGGTTTCATAACATAGCCAATGATATCTCCATGTTCCATCTGTCATAAGTGATAAGCCAAATGTTAGGTTATAAATCTCAAGTCTTAAAGTTTTTTATAAAGTGGCCCTGAAATTTAATTTTTCACTATCGTTATATTACAATATGTTATTCATAACTTGTCAGTTATTTTTTGCTAATGAATTTGTTCCTTAATAAATCGGACACAACAAGAGGAAGGAGTCATATGTGTCGGCTTCATTCTGATCTGACCGATGGCAGGAAGTTAGGGAGGATAGTAACATTGAATGTAGCCGATAGTGATTCATCGATATTTTCGATTAGGACCGAGCTCTATTCGAGATATTTCAATGCATAAATAACAAAACCATAACCTGTCAGAATGAAGCCAACTACTTTCTGCAATCAAATAGAGGTAAAAATATCATATTAACTATTGCTTGCCGTGATTATTCAAAAACAAGTTATCCATCCCGAGAATAACGAATGAAATACAGATCAAGCAAGTATTTGAATCTTGAAGGCTTCCCTGATCAAAACAAAAATACCGAACTGAGATGTTTATAATTCCTATACTTAACTATAATAAGGTGTATTCATTTCTTCAGCATGGGTTTGAAATGCCAAATCTGCCGAAATCGGAAACAAATCAGGTATGCGTCCCAACCCAAATAACCAACCATAACAATGTCGTTTATTCTTGATGACGTCCAGTACATCCTTTAGCTCCTAGGAACTAAAGTTCAACTCTAGCTCCTAGCAACATATCTGTTTTTGTGTCAGTAATAGAAACGTCAATTCAAGAGCTAATTTTGGTATTAAAATGGACGAGTTTTGTGTCAATTGCAAAAAAAAGCTCTTGTGTGGTTCCATTTCAACCGATTAGGTCGACCAACAAATCGGAAGGAAGCATAAAAGGCGCTCACCCTGCGACGAAGGCTGATAGGAGGAGGGCTGCGGCTGCTTCAGCAAACTGTCCCGCATCGACGGCATCTCTTTGCGATGCTGCGACGGGTGCTGCTGCTGCTGGTGGTGGTGATGGTGGTGGACGGGATGCAGAGGCGCTCGCCCCGACTGCTTCACCTTCACCTTTCGACCGATGTCCGTCTGGGTCGGCTTGATTTCTCTTGTGCTGGAAAATCACGAATGATACCGCTCACCACAGGGACAGAAATAATCAATTGATAACTAGATGAATAAAATATTTATTCATCCTTTCAACTATTGGTAACAATAGATAGGATAAGTTAATGTTACATGTCAGAAAAGAACAGTGTAATTAAGGAATTGACAAATAAGACGAAATGAAATATTAGTTGCCTTTTATTGGCATTGCTAGTATCACCAGTGGGATAGAATCGCCGTTTTATTGTCTGTTCTGTGGAATTTCACTGGCCATTCGGTCTCAGAACATCGAATGCGTGGTGGAATGTTTGGAATGTTTGACAAATAAGGGTATTTGACATACATCATAATAATTTTGTTGTAATCAAAAACTTTGTAGAATAGAAATAGTGAATACGGAATAGGGAATAGGTAGGTACCTACTGATGGAGAAGATGAGCCAACAAAAGAGGAAAAATGTGCATATAACTCATGGAAATATTCAGAAGGCAATCTGAAATGGCTCTGAAAGGTCTTTGTATTGAATCTTGGTATAACAATCTCATAAAAATCTTAAATTTTTTGAACTTCTTCATTACATATTCTGAAAAAGGTCAGTATGAAACATTCATAATCCTGGATTTGATTTTGTCATCTCATGAATCCATAATTTCATGAAGAATGTCGCTAGGTAGGTAACAAATATAAGTTTCGCTGCACTTTCCATTTCCTTGATATGGATACAATATTCCCCATTTTCATCTAGGTACTATCAAAATTTGATAATATCGAATAACACCAATGTCTAGGAAATTATTATTGATTAGTGATAGTTAGAAATTCCCACGTACCTACCCCTCAGCCCGCACGTATATACCAAAACCATTATTCAATATGTATCATCAATCCATGGATTCAATCCAAAGATCCAGAAATTGATCTAATCTAAACTTTGATGTTTTTTATTGATGATTATTATGTCATTCTGATTGTATGTGGTTTTCACACGGTTGTCATCACATCAATGTCATTCATCATTTTTTGCCGTACACAATTCTCACACCAGAGAATCAGAAACAAAACAGACTAGTGAGACATGTCGAAATAATAACAGAGATGACTAACATACATTGAGATATACTTCGGTATCATTTTGAAATTGAAGAGTAGGATTCGAATTCGTCAACAGTATAAAAGCATTCTCTGACTAGGGGTTCCTCAAGTCTGAAAGTCTCAAGTCTGAAATAAACTGTTTTTTTCCATAATTCGATGAAGCTCGTCAATCTGAATTCAAAATATATATCATTAATATATTATCATGAAGTAAATTTAGATCATTTGATTTTTTTTCGAGCCATTTGTATTTTGTTGATAGTGAGTACAAATTCGTGAAAAATTATTCCAGGAAAGTTTTTGAATGACCAAAATATGTTGAGAATGACGAGGATATAGGGGGTGATACGTTAAAGTGGGACACCCTGTACATGGAGACATTGACAGAGAGACAGGGACAGTCACAGACCTAGATACATAAAGAGCGAGAGACAGAGGGAGGGACTCAATTACAGGGAACAGACAGGGGAGAGACAGGGGGAGGCAAGGAAGCGAAAAGGAAGAGATAGGGAAAAGACAAGGAAGACAGGGAAGAGACAGGGAAAAGACAAGGCAAAGACAGGGAAGAGACAGGGAAGACCTTGACTTCCGAGGATCCGCGTCAGCGTCGCCTTGTATACATCATCGTTCGCGTGGACGTGTATCTTGTGCGGTATCGAGCCGAGCCCTTCGAGCGGCCCTCGGGACGGGTCCTGCTGCCCGATGCACTCGAAACTACACTTTTGCTTACGTTTCCGAACACCAAAAGACACAACTTGATGCCATAAACGCCAGTTCGATTTTTAGTGTGAATTTATATACTGGTAGACTTTGGTAACCAAAGCTCAGCAATCCATGAGCAAAAGCACTCAATTGTTCGTTTTCATTTGACTAGCAATGATTAATTCAATATCGAACATTCATGGCGCCTAAAGAAATGAGTAGAGTCCTGACCACTGAATTCGACAAACGCGAGAGAACCAACGAACAGCATGTGAATATTCGTTAGACTAACACCTTGTATCTCAGAATTGTAGGATTTCTTTGATACCAAACTAAAGAAAGTTATAACTACGAGATCAGGGGGTTAAAAATAAAAAATGTCGGGATCAAGGTGTTCCTTTTAACATCCCCCGAAAAAAAACACAACAGTACACTCACACACACCCTCATACCCAATATCTCACCATTTATTCTTGTGCTTGTCCTTCGACTTTAATAATAATCTGACTAGCTAAGATTACTTCCATATCTAGCATTTATGGCGACTTAAGAAAGATGTAGAGAACCAACCGATGAATTCAACATACTAGAGAGAGGCAACGAACAGTGACCAGTTGAATATTTGTTAGAACAACATCCAGATTGTAGAATGGGTCAAAAATACAAGAATAAACAAGGTCGCATTTCACTGTTCGAGAAAAAAAAACAGCACACGCACCCTCACACCCAATATCTCACCATTTATTCTTGTACTTGTCCTTCTAGCAATGATTAATTTCATATAACATTTTTTTTAAGATAAAATCTTTATTGGCTTATCTCTAATATATACAATGATAGGCTCAAGTTATGTTAGTGTAATAGTGATAGGTAGTCTGCGAGTTGATATGGAAGTCCAATTTTTGAGACAAGTGCTAGTAGGTGTCCTATTGCTTGAATCGCATCCGTGTGCAGAGGTTCATCAAAGTGCCATCCTGGTGTTGTGAGGAATTTTATGTTGATATTGACTTGAGGAATCCTTGTGGACTGGCAAATCCATCGGCGAATATGGTCCCATATAACGTGTAGTACGGAACACTGGGTAAAGTGACATTTATGGAGTCTAGAGAAAGATGTAGAGAACCAACCAATGACTTAGACAAACTAGAGCCTAGAGAGAGGCAACGAAGAGCAACCAATTGAATATTTGTTAAACCAATATACAGATTGTAGAATTTCTTGATACCTACCAATCAGAAGAACGTTATAGTAACGACACCAGGGTTCAAAAATACAAAATTAAAGGTCAGAATTCATTTTTCGAAAAAAGAAAAACAGCACACACACACCCTCACACCTGATATCTCACCATTTATTCTTGTACTTGTCCTCGGCCTCAGTCATCCGCGTCCGCGTCGCCTCGTACACGTCATCGTTCGCGTGGACGCGTATCTTGTGCGGTATGGAGCCGAGCCCTTCGAGCGGCCCTCGGGGCGGGCCCTGCTGCCCGATGCACTCGAAGCTGCCGCCCTGGCCCTCCATGTCGGCGGTACTGGACATGGCGAAGTTGAAGAACTGGTGGCCGGTGTGGTGGTGCAGCGAGGGGAAGGAGAGCTCCTGGAAACGGCCACATCACGTCAAATATCCGATGGGTTTACTTCAGGGTTGGCATGAATTGATTCATATGAATTAAATCAGTGATTTAATTCATGAATTAATTCCATTGACTTTCTTCGAAAAGGTCATAAATTCATTCAAATTTTTAAAAATGAGACAAATTGCACTATTACCTTTGATTTTAACTAGTTCAAACTGAAAAATTCGATTGTATTTTGGCAAGACTTTGTTATTTCAAGCATGACAGAGATTTTTCTACCAGATATATACAGTATCAAGTATCATCCATGAAGTCCATAACATATGAGAACAGGTTTATTATCACAGCATCGATTTTTTTTCTCTCGGCGATCCATTATGCATATCCGATAACTTGAAAATCGATTTTGACACATGTCACGTAATCACTGGTATGGTGATAAATAAAAATAATACTATAAAGCGACGGAAAGTGGGGTTAGATAACAAAATATCCATAAACATTTCTTATTAAGTTGCTATTCCACATTCAGTTTCGAGCGATTTTTGGAGAAGAATTGGAAATAGCTATATTTTTTCGAATATTCTTCAATTTTGTTACAATTCTCTTTTTTTTCTGACAGTAGTGATGTTGATGATGAACAAGTTGAATAGAATTCAATTTCATATGCTCACATCTGGAGTTTCCAGCCATTATTTGAGAAAACTGAAAATAGCTATTTTTGATTTTTTTTAAATAACTTCATCTTCCCATCTAACCCCACTTTTTGCCATCGTAATTTTTTGAATTTACCGCCATACCAGTGATCAAGTGACATGTGTCAAAATCAACTTTTAAGTAGTCAGACATGCATAATAGATCCCCGAGGAAAAATGTTTCGATATTCTACTAATAAACTTTTTCTCCATGTGTTACGAACTTTATGGATGATACTGGATCTATATGTATTTATTATTTTGTATTCTATCATCACTTTTAATTTTGTTTTGAAAAAGTGACATGTTATATTATGATGTTATTCTACAAGATTTCTGAAGGGAATAAAAACATAGTTTTTTTGTTTCTTTTTTCAATTTCGCTTTGGGTAAATTAAATTTGTTAGTTTTTTTTTTCAAATGAATTGATTCAAAAAGTCTGACTTAATTCGAAAAGTCGGACTTTGATGACTTTTTTATAAAAGTCATGACTTATTCCAGCCCTGGTTTACTTTATTATCCCGAGAAAGGCTGTTGCTTATAATAGGGATATAGGTACAACATGACACATGGTATATCTTCATAATTTCGAGATACCCTGTATATACAGTGTGGTCATTTAAGTGTGCAACATATGGGAATCTTTTTAATGAATTGCACAACCAAAATACAGATGCCAAAAGTTGGTGCATGTTCGGTAATCATTTTAGGTGCCCTTAGAATGGTTGAAAGTCACACAGCATACCATACAGGGTAGGTCAAAAAATATAAAAATTGCTCAAGAGTAAAGTACCCTTATTTCATAAAATTCAGCAAAATGTTATTGGGGAAAGTTGTTTACAATTGAAAGTTATGCCTAAATACGAAAACATGGCCTAAGACATTTTTTAGTTTTTCAATTTTGTTCGTGAATTATTCCCCAAAAAATGTTTGCAACTCGAGCGCGAAATACTTTGGTCATCTCGACTATTTTTTCAACTCGGCTACGCCTCGTATAAAAAATCAGATCTCGATCACCAAAGTAGCATTTCGCGCTCTAGATACAAAAAAATAACTATTATATCATCCCTCTTTCCAGTTTTGTTTTGTATATTAGCAATACTTCAACAACTTTCAAGCAGTTTCAAAAGATTTGGAAACAATTTTCAATAATAAAGGAGCTAATTCAGATTGTTACTCTTCTTGTGTTGAATTTAGAAAAAGTATCATTGAATTCAACTAAGCACAAAGATATATTTGAATTCTTAGAATTATTTTTTATGATTCAGTGTTTTTTTGCCTACACCTGTAGAGCTTTTTGAATGTTAGTAAGAGCTTACAGCATTTTTTAAAAGACATAAATATGATACAACCAAGTAACTATACTTACTCCATTTTCATTGCCTAGGAACTTGATCGTTGGTTTGAGATTGTTGAATTTGTTCTGAAACAAACGAACACATTTTCAATTACGGTATTTTAAATAAATGGATATAAATTCAAGATTATCACTTTTCAAATATTCAAATATATTATGCAGAATCGATGATATAAATAATACAGGTACAGGGTGATTCACCATAAATGTCCCCCCCTTCAGCTCAGTTATTTTCGAACCGATTGCAAAATTTTAGATATCATCTAAAATAATTTTCGAGTTTTTTTCCGCTACATCAGAAAATACAAAATGCTCGGAACAAACGATCTACAGGGTACTATTTGATTTTTTTATATAGAATACCCTCTTTTTCATTGTATTTTTAGATTCTCCCTGAAGAGCTTATTTCATCAATGCATCACACTTGGGGTCTAGCGAAATTGATTACAGAGATATAGGGTGTTCAAAATCGAGATTTTTCAACGTTACGTTTTTTTTGTGACGAAACTAATCATTATCGGTCAAAACGGCTTTCATGTCCGTATCTCAACTTCTGATTCACTATCTACTGACATCTGATAATTGGACCAGATACAGGGTGATCAGAATTCTGAATCTTGAACCACACTGTATATGTTCCAATAAAATGTCAGTAGATAGTAAATTGAAAAATCATGAAAATCATCCATTTTCTCAAAGTGGTCCACAGTATTTTCAAGAAGAACCGACCGACTTTGAGCACCTAGTTTTTTTCTTCTTAGTAAATTGAAAGTTGAGACAGGGACATCAAAGCCGTTTTCACCAATAATGAATAGTTTCGGCACAAAAAAATCCTTAAGTTGAAAAATCTCGATTTTGAATACCCTATATCTCTGTTATGATTCCCGCTAGACCCCAAGTGTGATGTATTGATGAAATCAGTTCTTTAGGAAGAATCTAAAAATACAATGAAATACGTTCGAAAAAATCAAGTAATACTCTGTAGATCGTTTGTTCCGAGCACCCTGTATTTTCTGATGCAACGGGGAAAAAATTTCTGAAGAATCATTTTAGATGATTTTTCAAATTTTTAAATCGGTTCAGAAATAAGTGAGCTAGAGGGGGGGGACATTCATGGTGAATCACCCTGTATATAATATTTGAGCAGAATGTTTGTTACGACATAACTAATAGTACTATGTTCTAACAGAAAAAATAAAAATCTCTTATTTCACCTCGTATATAATAGTCGAGATAATAGTTATTTAGTCGGAAAAAAGTACCTAGTAGATTTTAGCCATTGAAATCGGATAGTTTCCTCATAATTGCAATATTCATCTGTTTTATGTTTCAGTAACTACCTATTTTAATGTCCACTTTTTTTGCACACTCGTCATATTTATAAAATCCACATAAATTGATGTATCATTTATCGAAGCCACGGGTAGGACCACGGTCAACAACCTTTGGATCATATGTTTTCGTTTAATAATCACAAGATCAAACGAACTTACCTGAGTGAAGTTCGATCTTGATTATATGAACCGCCTCGTTCGAAAAGATCACAAGTGTAGTACTAGGTATTTATGATACAAGGGCGAAAAGTATTAGATTTTATCTCGCGGTTGAGTTGTCTCACGACGCGAAGCAGAGGGAGATAAAAAAACCGAGAGCTAAAATCCAATATTTTTCCCGAGTATAACACACTATTTTTTTCTTCTAATTCATCATTCCTTTGAAGTAATCGAATATCAATAAGATGAAAGTGATATCGAGGGAACTGTGAAGAGACTAGGAAAGAGATTATTGTTGATTCGTTTTTCACCAAGTCCAAAACACCAAATACGAATAGAAAGTTCATAAACTATGAATTGTATTACTGAAATTTGATCTAAAAAATAAAATCTATTTCTCTGCATTGTGATTATATTGTCATATTAACGATATTGCTATAATCATGTAGTGAAAAGCTTTTTATTTTTTCAAGCGAAAACCGTGCAACAGATAGAAAAAATTGTGGTGATCGAATTTGCTTAGAAATGATTGGGAATTTCAGGAATGATTTCAATTTCGAGATTAATCAGTGGAGTACCATCAATGTCTGCCAAAATAGGTATGTAAAACTCCATACGAACGCCACTGGTGGCAACCAAAAAAAATTTGGCACACTAACTGATGTCTCTTGATACATAGTACATGTATGCCAAAATTCATTAGAATATCTGAAGTGATATTACAGATATTAATAAAAAACTATTAATTTTTGATAATTTTACCACCCTGTATCTCAAAAGTTAGGACGTTCAAGTCATAAGTTCATATAAAACTTTCTTCTTAGAATGGGCCCAAGATACGCCTCCCCAAATATTGACATCAAATAATGAAACACCCTGTATATCCGGGAAAAAGTACTCGCTTTTTTCCTGTGGTAAAAAGTAATTTATGAAAAGTGACATTTTATAACGCATCGACAGAAATGAAATTTCAAACTTCTTCCTGTCACTGAGAAAAATGGACGTTTGACCTAGTTCTAGTCTTCCAATTTTCAATCTGGCCCAAAAAATGAGCGAGATAACCGAGAGAATGGAATTTAATGCGATAACCCTGTACATTTCACCTTTTGTAGTACAACTTGACGGCGTGATCATGTAAATCATGTTCATTTAACGACCAGGCAGGAGATAGAGATCTCTCGCGACGTTGCCAAATGTGGAAAAATGGCAGTATATATACCATACCGGATGTCTTGACCGCACTTCGAATAATGCAATCCAAGTTTATTATCACGTCTTTCATTTCACAAGTCCTGGCTCCTAGCAGAGAACCACATAATAATCATTATGTTCACGAAATAAAAATGTCCTCTATCGAATTAAACTTGTACCTATTTGTAACAAAAAATTGCGTCATACTGGTATCGTAATCTGAGGTTATGATTGTTTTGTCACTGCGTTCAAAGAATTTTAATATCGGAGAGCCTAAAAGAAAAATTCACTAGCTTGTCAGTGACAATTTGTATTAAAAAAGGTTTGGCGAACAGAAATAAAGGTATATAGAAAAAATATCAAATTTTCACTTATCGTTGGACATTTCGGGAACGAATCTGCTCCCGTTTTCAACATAAAAAATGTTTTTTTTGTATGGCAAATTCGTATTTGTCCTGAAAAAAATTTACTATCTCATTTTCCGAAATGTTTAGGTAAAACACAGGAAAAGTATTATTTCTTCTGTTTATTCAATATGAACAACATTTATCAAAACCACGAAACCTGGTTCAACGGTAACAAAAAGAAAAATATCGATGCAAGGTTAATGAATTACGAATACGAGGTCGAATGTCTCAGTTCAGACTAATAAATAATTATTCATGATTCGGTATTAAAATTGGAATTTTGGTGGAAATTATAAAAGTGCGACAGTCAGGGACGTCATTTAAGAAACTCCCAGGTGGGCAAAAAATACTCAGCAGACGGATGTTTTTTTTGGGTTTAAGGTAAAATGCTCTCAAATTGAAAAATATCTTTTTCCATAGTAACAACTTAATCATATTTTGATGATGGTCTTATTTTTTATTTTGTCCTAAAAACTTATACCTAGAACAAAAACTTTCGGGGCTTGCAGAAACCTTCAAATGGCTATTTTTCAACACACTATACAAGGTGTTTTTGAGATAAGTGCACATATTCAGCATATTAATATAATACAGTCTAAGGAATAATCCCATGATATCAGATTTTTTCTAATTCTTCTAATTGACGAGAAATTTCATACCAAAAATTGAACAAAATACGCGGGAAAAAATCAAGTAAGCCACTTTAAAACAATTTTAATGATTGAACTCCTTGTCATTTTGCCTACTGCATGGAAATTTGCTCCAAGATGGCGGACAACGGACAAGATTTGGTCCGATTCCATTCAAAATTGGTAAGTGGGGGTTTTTGAGGTCGGAGATCATGATTTTTTTGTTAAAATTTATAAATTCAAGATGGCGGCTTCCAAATAATTTTTTGTTTTTGTATAAATGACGATAACTTTGTTGTTATCAACACAAAACTATTACTGCGACATATCATCTGTAAGAGAAAAAAAAGTTATTTGTAACTAAGTCATAGTGAGCTATGACCTACATTTGAGAAACTAAAGTTGGTGCTGATATCTCAAATTCTAGAAGAGTTGGTATGAATTTCATATTTTTGTCAAAATCACTTTGAAAAACTGCCATGAGAATGTGAAATTCCTATTTGAATATTTTCATAAATAAAGAAGTTACGGAGGAAACATGAAAATGATCAAAATCTGTTTTTTGCGTATAAAACAAAAACGAATAGATTTGATCAAAATATTTTTTCACATTATAGTTGGCCTTGACAAACTCCACATTTGGTGTCATTTAACCGACCTCGTATCTCTCACCGTTAAAAAGATATCCATGGTGAGCATGGTAAGTTGGACACACTGTATGTTCAAATATCAAGTACGTCACTTTTTTTGGAACTGAGTGTATGTACTGTTGAAACATTTTCCCCAACCCAACTTTGATAGTTGAATTCTGACACCCAGTACATTATTTTGGTACAGCCTATGGTCTTTTTGCTATTATATTGAGAACTGCACTGAAACACACAGCTTCTTCAATATACAATTTTTTCAATATTAAGAAAATCAGTGTTTAGAAGAAATGTTGGTTACCTGACCCAATTTTACAACCGGTCAAACCGTTATTCTATTCCGATCACACTCAGTATACGGAAAAGTTTCGAATTGAAAGATTCGGAATTGCAGAATTGGATAGGCAAATAGGAAGTTCCATTTAACGACATTCCCAATGACTTCATTGTTCAATTACTCATGTTACCACAGGAGGAGGATATACGAGGTGACCCAAAGAAAAACCCATTGATAACAGAACACACAAATCACGTGTAGGCACGGAAAGTATAAATCAAAGACAAGAACAAAAATGTCGAGAGTTGAAAAAATAATGATTTCAAATGGAGTATGGGAAGTACCGGGTGACACGATATAAACTATTTATTTTTGACAGAAAAAATAACAGACTAAGCAGTTTTTTTTTTCCTTTTCGAACT